GCCTCTTTTCTAAATTTCTCATCGAAGCAATTCAGGGCGTCTTCCACCGACTGCAAAAACGCGTCTTGACCCGCACACTTAATCATCAGTTGAAGGACATTTTTCATTCCACCTCAAGGCTGTGCATCGCCGCCGGTCTGGCCTTGGAATGGCATAGGAAGCAGAGGTGAAAGAGATCTCGACGTCGGCATCCCATCTCTCCAGATCAAGGTCCTGAACGACCCTCTCTTTTAGCGTTGTTCCCATGGCGTCATCCGACCCAGTGCCGGCTGACGACGTGATGAAGGAGGCCGCTGCCCTTCAAGAAGAGGTTGCGCTGCCGCCAGAGCTGGTGGTTGACTCTGACCTCGAGGTAGCGGAGGCAGCAGCAGCGGCAGCGGACGAGGTTTTAAGAGGGGGAGGGGGAGGAGGGGGGGGAGCGACAGGCGGGGCCAGTCTAATCAGTGGTGCATCGCCGAGGAGTTTGGGGGCGGAGGAGCTGCTGAAGGCCGTCGCGGACGAGGCCCAGGTCACGAAGCGCGGCAAGACGCCGAATGAGGTCATGTCCCTCCAGGAGCAAGCCATCCTGGCCAACATTCAGGAGCTTCAGCGCCAGCTCTGGAAGGTGAAGAGCGAGCAGGAGAAGCGGGACACGGGCGAGGAGAACGGTGCCGCGGGGGAGGCGTCGGAAAGCGTGGCAAAGCACCGCGTGATAATCGTCGCCAACCGCCTGCCGGTGTCGGGCGGGCGGGACGAGAAGACCGGGGAGTGGGACTTTCGGATGTCCTCGGGTGGGCTGGTTACGGCCTTGAAGGGGTCGCGGGAGGAGTTGAACGCGGTGTGGATCGGTTGGTTGGGGCAGGAGATACCAGAGGAGGACCGGGAGCAGGTGCGGGAGAAGCTTCTGCGCGAGTACAACGCGGTGCCCGTCTTCCTCTCGGACGAGCTGGTCAACAAGTACTACAACGGCTTCTCCAACGACGTGCTCTGGCCCCTTTTCCACTACATGCCCCTGCCCATTTACCAGTCCGAGGCGGGCTCCGACAAGCGCTTCGACACGGTGCTGTGGGACGCGTACAGGGAGGCGAACGTGCTCTTCGCCGACGCGGTGGCGGCGATTTGGGTCGAGTCCGACTACATCTGGGTCCACGACTACCACCTCATGTGGCTGCCCCTGGAACTTCGACAGCGCTTCAAGCACGCCAACATCGGCTGGTTCCTGCACACACCCTTCCCCTCCTCGGAGATCTACCGCATCCTCCCCGTGCGCAAGCCCCTCTTGGAGGCCCTCCTGGCCTCGGACCTGCTCGGCTTTCACACCTACGACTACGCCCGCCACTTCCTCTCGGCCTGCGCCCGTGTCCTGGAGGTGGACACCACCCCGCGGGGCCTGGAGTACGCCTCGCACTTCATGTCCCTGGGCGTCTTCCCCATTGGGATCGACCCGGAGCACATCGCCCACATCCTCCAGCGGCCCGCGGTCCACGCGCGCATCGCGGAACTCACGGAAACCTTCGCGGGTCGAAAGGTGCTGCTGGGAGTCGACCGGCTGGACTACATCAAGGGCATGCCGCACAAGCTGCTGGCGCTGGAGCTGTTCCTGACGCGGCACCCGGAGTGGCGCGGGAAGGTGACGCTTATCCAGGTGGGAGTGCCCTCGCGGACCGAAGTACCGGAGTACCAGCGGCTGTCGGAGCGCGTGAACGAGCTGGTGGGCAGGATTAACGGGACCTTCGGGAACCTGGAGTACGCCCCGGTGCACTACATCAACCAGAGCATCACGCAGGAGGAGCTGGTGGCGATCTACAACATGGCCGACGTGTGCCTGGTCACTTCTCTGCGGGACGGAATGAACCTGGTCTCGTACGAATTCGTGGCCGCGCAGAGAGACATGCCGGGCGTGCACCAGAAGGACGGGCCGGGTGTCTTGGTCCTCAGCGAGTTTGCGGGCAGCGCGCAGTCTCTGAGCGGGGCTATCCGCATCAACCCCTGGAACACAGAGGAGGTCTGCCACGCCATCCAGCAGGCACTCACACTTTCACGGGCGGAGCGGGAGATCCGGCAGCACAAGCTCTCCCGCTACGTCTCCGTGAACACGGCCTCCTCCTGGGCCAAGTCCTTCGTCGCGGAGCTGCGCACGGTCTGCGCCAACAAGCCGAACCTGTCCAAGCTCCCGCGCCTGCCGTTCGACCTCGCCCGCTCTGCTTACGAGCGGGCCAGGAACCGGCTCATCGTCGCGGACTACGACGGCACCCTCACTCAGCTCCAGTCCGTCCCGCAGCTCGCCACCCCGTCGCCCTACATCACCAACCTGCTGGACTCCCTGAGCAAGGACCCGCGCAACACGGTGGTGATCGTGTCAGGCCGGGAGAAGCGCTTCATGGACACGTGGCTGGGCAAGCTGAAGATGGCCTTGGCGGCCGAGTACGGCTTCTACTACCGGATGCCGGAGGAGGAGGAGTGGCAGACCATGGCGCCGGAGGTAGACACGTCTTGGCGGGACATCGTTCGGCCCATCCTCGAGTACTTTACGGAGCGCACGCCGGGCACTTACATCGAGAAGAAGGAGTCGAGTCTGACCTGGCACTACCGGGACGCGGATCCGAATTTCGGCTCCTGGCAAGCCAAGGACATGCAGATTCAGCTGGAAGACGTGCTCTCGAACCTGCCGCTGGAGATCATCCAGGGGAATCGGATGGTGGAGGTGAGGCACCAGGGCGCCAGCAAGGGGATGGTGGTGGAAAGCGTCCTCCGGTACATGGCGGACCCGTCCCGGGGGGCGAAGAACTCGGACACGCCCCTCGACTTTGTATTCTGCGTGGGCGACGACCGGACCGACGAGGACATGTTCCAGGTCCTGAAGATTTTGCGGGGGGAAGCGGCGCGTTTCACGGCCCCTTCCTCGGTAGGCGGGTCGCACCCTCTCTCGCACGGCGGCCTTACCCCCTTCTCCTCCCACGTGGGACCCGACCTCATCCCCTTGGACTCGATCCCGGGGGGCGGGCAGCCAGAGCTGCGGCCCTCGAGTGCAACTCCACGGAGCGTGTCGACGCCCACGGCCGGGGACGGGCTCGGGCGGGAGTCGGCGTCGAACAGCGCGTTCACCGAGTCGTGCCCGAACCCGTCGGGGATGGAGCAGTCACAAGACGCGCAGCAGAAACCCCCTGTCATTGGGGAGCCGTGCCGAAGGCAAGAGGATTCTCACGCGGAGAAGAAGGGCGGGAGGGAGATGTGTGAGGGCGGGCTGGAGAGAGGAGATCTCGCGAGCCCGAGCCTCGGCCCCCAGATGGACCACCTGACGCTGGAGGACGAGGCTGTCACGGAGAATGCGCTGATGCTGAGCAGCAGGCCCTGCACCCCGAAGGGGGGGGTGAGCACTGGGATAGGGCGGGACATGCCGCTGATGGCCCGGGACGCGAAAGTCTTCACCGTGCATGTGGGAAACACGTACAGTCAGGCCGAGTACCATGTTGAGAGCTTGCTGGATGTGCGCCGCCTGCTCCGAGATTTTGCCTCCATCAGCTTTCGACAGACGACGCGGAGGTGAGAGAGACCGGAAGCTGTCGGCAGCTACGACAAGGGGACAGCACTCTTTCTGCAGCAAGATGGTAATATGCCCACGGCCGCTGCATGACTAAGATAGTGCTCCCGTTGCGAACCGAGGGCTGCGATTTTGGGGCTTCCACTCGATATCGCGAGGATCTTCATTCATAATCAGACATTTGACTAGGGGAGAAAGTTTGGGGAGGATAAATAGATCACTCTTCACATACCATTAATATGTTAATAGAAACATGCTTGGGGGGGGGGGAGGGGGGTTGAGGAAAAGGTCTATACATTGCTCAGTTTAGGGCTTGTAGTGGGAACGACCAATACGTAATTACCACCCGCGGTAACATGTGTGAGGTAAGTGGCAAAGCGTCGATGGTCGAGGAATGTTGTGAGGGAAAGTAAAAGACGATTTTGAGAGCTTTGTGCAATTATTTGTTGGGTTTTTATTTACTAAGCGGAGACGAAGATTTTTCGGCGATTGTACGATGATGCTCGTATCTAGCATCTTGAGCGACGCGGGTTGGCACTGGGCAGAGGATGCGTCCTCAGGAAGCAGTATTAGGTGTTTGTAAAGGAATGCGGAAGATACATGTGGGAAGCTCGGAGAGACGTGCATGAGGAGGGCTTGGCAGGACGTTCTCAGGGGACAAGGGGGGAGGTTGACTCGGGGGGCTGAGAGAGGCGGCGCCCAACACGTCATCATGGAGCCGCACACCCCGCAGACGAGCCACGGAGGTTTGGCATTGTGGCCCTGATGTTGCTTTGCGTCTGACCAGACGGAGATCTTTGCTTTATCATATCTGAGCTGGTCTTGCATTTAATAGCAAAGTGGCGATGCGCATCACTTCTTCATTGTTTCTCTCCCACGACCTCCTCTGGAAGTTCATCTTGTTCTTGCACAAGATCCTCCGTCTCCAAAAAGCGTTGTTCGGCTTGCGTGTCGGAAGCTGCGCTTACAAGACCCAATCTTCTTGTTGTTTAGAAGTATACCTTTCGAAATAATTCGCGGTGTATGGACGCACTCCCTGCATCTGAAAAGCTTGTTTGAAGCCCGTCAACCTTCATGGTATCTTTTCACCCTTACGTTACCTGCCGAGCGCAACGTTCACACGACGGCTTTGTGTGGTGAGTGGCTGCTGCAACGCGACAGTAATGTCCAGATCTTTTATTCTTATTTTACCTTCCCCTCTTGCGTAAGAACGGGCTCGGCCCCTGTGTGCACAATACAACCTCTTCTCTGAGAAGCATTGTTTGTGTCAGATGAATTGGAAAAATGCATGCCGATCTTTGGCGGTCGATGCATTGGGCACAGATGCAGGAGGAAAGATTGCTCTTGATGAAAGGAGATTGGGATTTGACACGGGCCAGACATTCTGACCCGACACGGTTACTCCTTGACTTGCACGCGCATTGCGATGCGTATTTTAACGGCACTGCTATTTCCTCTCCTTGCCTGCTCTGCCACGTTGACAGCTTACTTTTCACGCTCAGCAGATAAGATGGCCCCCGTGCAATCCACCCTCATCGGTGCCCTGGCCCTGGCCGGCTCCGCCTCCGCCTTCGTGACTCCCTCCTTCAAGCTCAACGCGGTGCAGCACGCACGCACCAACGACGTGCACATGGCGGTCCCCATGGGCATCAACGGCTTCGGACGCATTGGTCGCTTGGTGGCTCGCATTGCCGTCAAGGACCCGCAGTGCAACCTTGTCGCCATCAACACGGGCGCCGACGCCGAGTACATGGCATACCAGTTCAAGTACGACTCCGTGCACGGGCGCTTCGACGGGAAGGTGGACGTGGAGGGCGACGACATCATCATCGACGGCCACCGCATCAAGACCACCCACACTCGCAAGCCCGAGGAGATCGGCTGGGGCAAGCTGGGCGCCAGCTACCTGTGCGAGTCCACGGGGGCCTTTTTGACTAAGGACACGTGCCAGGTGCATCTGGATGGCGGCGCCAAGAAGGTGGTCATGTCCGCGCCGGCCAAGGACGACTCCCAGGTCATTGTCATGGGCGTGAACGAGGTCGACTACAAGGGTGCGGATATCCTGTCCTGCGCCTCCTGCACGACCAACGGCCTTGCTCCCATCGTCAAGGTTGTCAACGACGAGTTCGGCATCGAGGAGGCACTCATGACCACCGTGCACTCCTTCACGGCCACCCAGATGGTTGTGGACGGCTCCTCCAAGAAGGACTGGCGCGGCGGACGTGCGGCCTCGGTCAACATCATTCCCTCCTCCACCGGCGCCGCCAAGGCCGTGACCAAGGTCATCCCCTCCCTTAAGGGCAAGCTCACCGGCATGGCCTTTCGCGTGCCCACGCCCGACGTGTCCGTGGTTGACCTCACGGCCCGTCTCTCCAAGCCCACAACCTACGAGGCCATCTGCGCGGCCATCAAGAAGGCCTCCGAGACCACCCACAAGGGCGTGATCGGCTACACGGAACTCCCCATGGTCTCCCAGGACTTTGTGTCCGACCCGCGCTCCACCATCTTCGACGCAGGCGCCGGCATTGCTCTCAACCCGCAGTTTGTGAAGCTTGTGGCCTGGTACGACAACGAGTGGGGGTACTCTTGCCGCGTCGTCGACCTGATCAAGATGGTCGCCAAGCAAGACGGCGTCTCGCTCTAAGCTACTAAGCGCACGCTGCCCGCCTGGCATTAGGATTGGGCAGCAGCATTTCAGCTCGGGCAATATGCTATCCTTATATATGTGCGGTGTAGCTGGTGTGTCAAGAGGATTCTAAGCTTCAAGCCTTGAGGCCTCGGACGCGCACTGCGGCCCGCCCTTGTTTTTGTCCTGCTCAATAGTTCGCTTGGTCGTTTTATGCTGTCTGTCCCCGGCCTGACAGTTCGTGATGTTGTCGTGAAAGAGCGTTTCTCTGTGTGGTTCCCGGTGACGTGCGATTTTGTGGAAGGATGAGAAAACGTCTGATATCGAAGAGCAGACGCACGAAGAAAATGAAAGATTTCTGATGGACAGCCAGGGGAGAGAAAGCCATCGCCAAGGGCGTGGCGCTCGTCTACCCCAAAGCTACTCCTGCGGCTTCGTGATGTGTCCCGTAACGTGATATCTTCTTTTTTCAATCTCCGTTCTGTGCAATTCATGCTCCTGACCTCAGGCATGGGATGCAAAAATCATCATATCCGTATCCGTTCACTGGCAAAACTTCCGACCGCAATACCTCGCAATTCATCTAACCGTCCTTCCCCGCAATATATGTATGGAAAAAATTTGAACTCTTCCTTCACTGCGTGCATCATAGTGCCTGTAAAAGCCACCTCCGGACAAGACAAGTCCTAAGGCGCCGTGTGTGGCGTGACTCTACTAGTTCCACCCTCCCCCTCGTCATCCTCAGGGCCCCTCCCCAAGGAAAGCCCCCGTGAGAGCACAGGGCCGGGGCCGGTGCGTCTCCCTATGGCCCTGTTCTTCAAGAAGGACCTCGTAGGCACCTCACTTGCTGTCCACCGTACTCATGTGCACGATCAGGTCCACCAGGCGGTTTGAGTATCCCCACTCTGTGGACGCGTGTGAGAGCGATGACGGACACATGGTCATCGCCGGGAGAAAATGAGAGGCAGGTACGCAAAACAGACTACACAGGTCCCCGTTGCACGCGTGCTTGACCTGCGCCATCGACTCCACGTGTGGTCTAACCACTCATGTACGTACCGTTATCGTACCACGACACCAATTTGAAGAACGTGGAGTTGAGGCCGATGCAAGCGCCCGCGTCGAAGATGGAGGAGCGGCAGTCGGTGACGAAGTCCTGGGAGACCACGTCCTCCTCCGTGTACCCGAGCACGCCCTTCATGGAGCCCTCCGACGCCTCCTTGATCAGCGCCTTGATCGCATCCAGGGACGTCTCCTTGGCCACCTTCACCGTCAGATCGACCACGGACACGTCCGCGGTGGGAACGCGGAAGGCCATGCCCGTCAATTTTCCGTTGAGCTCCGGGATGACCTTTCCGACGGCCTTAGCGGCGCCAGTGGAGGCGGGAATCACGTTCACGCCTGCGGAGCGTCCGGCACGCCAGTCCTTCCCGCCCTTGGAGGGCCCATCCACGGTAAGCTGGTTGGCCGTCATGGCATGCACGGTGGTCATGAGTCCCTCCACGATGCCGAAATTGTCATTCACGACCTTAGCGAGGGGCGCCAGGCAGTTCGTCGTGCACGAGGCATTAGAGACAACGTCCATGTCAGGCTTGTAGTTCGTGTGGTTCACTCCCATCACAAACATAGGGGTGCCGTCCTTGGGCGGCGCAGAGATGATCACCTTCTTGGAGCCGCCCTTCAAGTGGCTGCCCGCCTTCTCCGTGGTCGTAAAGACACCGGTAGACTCGCACACATAGTCGGCGCCCGCCTCGCCCCACCCAATTTCAGACGGATCCTTGGCCTTGTAGACCTTAACCACCTCTCCGTTGATCACCAGGTTACCATCTTTCGCCTCGACGGTCCCATCGAAGCGCCCGTGGACAGAGTCGTACTTGAACTGATACACCATGTATTCCACGTCCATGAAGGGGTCGTTGATGGCCTTCACCACAGTCTTGGGGTTCTTCACTGCCGCTCGACAGACCAGGCGGCCGATGCGGCCAAAGCCGTTGATACCAATGCGCACACGAGAATCTGCACGCGATGTGGAACACGAGGTGACATATTTAGATGTCGAACCCGGAGGGCAGATAGATGATGCAAAGCAGACACGAATCTAGAAGCCGCAGAAGGACGAGAAACTTACCAGCCATTTTTGGAGTGAGTAGCTTTTAGAAGAGAAGAAGCGCTGTGAAAATGGTCGTTGAGAGGTATCTACACGCGTGAGAGGGTCAGACGGACGAAAGAGGGCGAGGTATGTGCCATGCGTCACAAAGCCACAAAATTGCAATCCTCACAGGCCAATCTAAAGGGCCGCACATGAAAGCACTCTCAGGATCCATGCGTGTGTGAATGACCACACTAGAGACTAGAAAGGTTGTCTTCTACGACTGGTTGAGCGGCACAGGAGGATCCCCTTCGGATTCCCCTAGCTAGGAGCGCCTCAAGCCCAAGGTAAAGAGTCAATCACGACATTAGGCATCCATCTAGCATCGCTCGGGCGTGTCCCAAAATATCAGTGCATTATGCGGGATTGCTTCCAAGATCCGGAGGATAGGGAGTGGACGGGCTGTGAAACGAGTCCGTTCAGGGGGAGCAGCCGATGCATCTTGTGGAACAAGAGGGATATTCGACAGGAATAGGATGCGGGCGTCAACAACCCAGACACTGCGCCCTCCCCCGTGACCGTAAAAAACGCCCACGTCTACCAACAGGCTAAATCATAGCCCACACACCTCATGCTTTAGACGAAGGGCCAACAACCGTCGCAGACTGAGAAAACTAGCGCTCTGACTTGTGTATCTTGACCGCCTGTTGAAGAACATAACACTCCGCTGCTGCGGAACATTCAACCCGAGCCGAGCCGCTCATGCAAGTTAATTTTAGACTTTCTTCTTTACACGGCTCGAGTGAAGACTTTGGGGGCATCAATTATTCTCGTTCTTCTTGTAATTGTTTACGAAGAGATTTGATGTACTCAGCAGCCTTTTTTTTGTCCAGATACGGAAGATCAACACCCCTTCCCCCCCCGCCATGGCCTGCGCCTCCTTGTTGGTTCTTTACCTGGGCCAGGAGTCCCAGTGGTTTGTACCTTTCCAGAATATTCACAAGATGAGCTGTTCGGATTTTAGGATACACCCCTTCGCGAAGACTGGCATCGAGCATGAGAGTGTGAATGTCTTGATGCAAGAGGGCGCCTAGGGTCTGATGGAGCTCGGCGAAGCACTCGCGGAGCTGGAGGACACCACAAGCGTCAGCAAAGGCTTCCAATGCAGCCACATCCAAGCTCAGATTATATAGTCCTGTCGTATTGACCGCCCGAACCTTGTGGGGGTCCAGAAGCGTGGCCAACATCACCGCGTGGATGTGAGTGCAGGACGCAAAATGCAGTCCGTCCCTGGCTTCCTTCGGCATGTACGTGAGGCACATGAAAGTCACCTGCAGGTAGCTGACGACATCTTCAACGTATGAACGTGCCCCGCTCGCCAGCTTGGTGGGCTCCCATTCGATGAAGCATATTCCCTCCAGCAGCTCGTCAATCTTTTTCTGGATCAGCTCATACACCAGGTGCTGTGCAGCAATGCTTGTATCCTCCAGCGCCCGGCGCCCTGCCCCCAGTATTGCTGGGATACTCTTGGACGCGGCCTCCGTCGAGTTGAAAAAATGCGCCGCTGCAGAGATCAGCATCGCCTCGAAGGCTGTGGTCACACGGGCCAGGGCCATGGCGTCGACGGAGACCTGGCAGGCCTTGGAGATGGGGATGTCCGCCGCCTTGCCACCGGCGCCCGCCAGCTCCTCGTCCAGGAGCCGGCGAACGGTGGCCAACCCCTTCTCTATCAATACAAGCAAGGTCGTCTCCATGGCCGCGGGATGCTGAAGCTGGAGCCCGTACAGAAAGCAGAGCGACGCGGTGCGGTAGAGCTCCCTGGAGAGGCGAGGGACCATTACAGAGAAAGGAAAGGCCCGGGGGTACCGGACCCCTCTACCCACCTTCGTGCCTCCTCTCCTGGGAGTTCTTCCGGTGCGATAGCCGCGCATCGCACTCCTCACCGTGCTCGACTCCTCCAACTCGCCTCTCCGCCCCTCCCCTTGCTCCCCCACGTCCGCGCCGCCCTCCAGCACGTACGCGTTTTCCCAGTCCAGGCCGTAGGGAAGAACCAGAGACCGATACTCTTCCTCGCAAGTCACGCTCAAGGGCTGGAACTCCTGCTGCTCCAGCACCAGCCGACACCTGGCATCCACAGAGAGCTCCTCCGCGGCCTGTAATCCTTCGCGCAAGGGGCCTCGCAGTGTCTCCATCAGAGGGCGGGTGTCAAAGCGGAAACAGTCTTCCCCCAGTGTCGAGGCCAGGAGCAAGGCTGTCTGCTTAAGCTGCAGGAGGAGGGCGGGAGAGCGGGCCTCAGGCGAGGCGACCGTGGCCGCTATCACGGCCTCCAGCTGGGCGCACACGTCCCGCTGGATCCCGCGCCACACCTCCTCCAGTCTGAAGACAGGGATCAAGCCCCCTGGGTGCTCTGTGGACCGAATGGCCGCGTGCTCGGTGACGAAGAAGCCGGCGTAGTAAGCCATGGCCTCCTGCAGTTGGGCGGCCCGCTCGTCCGGCCCCTCCCTCCCGGCCCCCGGGCTGGGTGCCCGCTCGGTGGCTTCGGCCGAGGAGGATGGGGCAGGGAGGGAGCCTCCCGAGGGCAGCGAGGCTTGCGGCAGGCGGTTATTGACGTAGAAGAGTTGGAGCTCATCCAGGGCCCCCAGATGGGCGTGGATGTGAAGGGCTCGGTGCAGCGGACCCAGGCTCTCGGCGAGGGAGGAGAGGGCATGCTGCTCGTCTCCTGCGGGGGCCTGCCGAAAGTAGGGCAGCGCCTGTAGTAGCTCGTCCTGCACCCAGGCGGAGAAGCTCGTGACGTGATTCGTTTGCCGCAGCAGCAGCTCGGCCGGCGTCGGGGCCAGTGACCGCGCATCCAACGCCCCGAGGGCTGGGGCCCCCAGAAAGCCCCCCAAGCCGGTTCCTGCGCATGCGGCCTGGCCGGTCAGGTAGCCCACGCACTTGCGCAACACGCCCTTGCCGATGCTGGTCGACTTGCCCCGAATGGCCACCAGCCAGTCGGACACGTCCTGCAGGGCCGAGGACTTCAGGCGGACGGCCAGCGCGGGGAGCCACGACTCCACGCGATCGACAAAAGGGTGCTGCACAGCCACCCTCAGCTGTTGGCTGATGCTGTCCAGGGTGCGCAGAGCCGGATAGTGCCGCCCTTCCTCGATTTGCTGCTTGGCTTTGGCCAGTAGCAAGGTGAGCTCGTGGCACTGTGCGGCTACCACCGCGGCGATCTGGATGTGCCGCTGGTCTGTCTTCTGCCGCTGGAGCTCGTTGCCTATCTTGAGCATGTCTTGGCCCGTGCGTCTGATATCCTCGTCGAAGAGAGAAATCTCTTCTTTCAGAGCAGCGGATCTGCTTTTGGCAGCCAGAAGCTCTTGCACGGACCCTAGAAATTCAGAGTAGTACCGACTGCACACGCGCTCTATCTCCTCCTCCCTCCGTTCCCGAAACTCCGCCAAGCTACTTGGCAGCGATTTCTCCCATCCGCGCTGTCAAGGCGTCAAATGAGATGACGAGAAGGGAGCCAGAGGCATTTAGTCAAACAAGGATCTCGAGCGCCCCATGCCTTGTTGAGAACTCACCTCCAGGGCGTTGCGAACACAGAGGGCAACCTGCTCCATCGGGCCAGTCACCGTCTCCAAAATCATTGATTCTATCCCTTCTCGCCGCCGCTCCTCCTCCAATACCATGACTGCTCCTGTCGAATTACCCTCTGTTTCGATTGCGTTACAATTCGACGTGCGAAGGAAAACATGGGACAAAGACACCCGGACTCATCATGCTCCACCAGGGACTGACAGCAGTCATCAAGTCAAATTACTGCGGTTACGCGGGCACCGAACATCCATTCAAAAGTCACATAAATTACACCAATGTGAACTGTCATGCTCGCCTATCGCACAACACCTCAAGTAGGCGATGGGCTTGGGGCGGCGGCACGACAAAAGGGCGAGCCCGGCAGACCGAAGGCGGGGGGCTCGGATCCGCCCCTGCGTGCTTAATTACGGAACAAGCACTATCTGAACCCACTCTGACCTTCTCGTTGCGAATATTTACATTTAAGTGTCTCAGATGGAGCCAAGAGAAGCGCCTGGAGATCCGAGGGGCAGCCACCGGGCAGGAATGGGGCAACAAAAGGTAAGCTTCTTTCAGTCCCTGATCAGACATCTCGTCCTTGACCTAGCTGACTGCTGCCCACCGAATGGGGCACAGGAACGTCACCAGTTCAAATCAAAAGACGAGCTGGACGCTTATTTGCGAGTCGCGCATGAGTCTGTGGCCATAGGGCGCGAGACCCTCACGGCCGTGGCGGGTCAACAGGAGGCCTTGGACCGCTCCGAGGCCGTTGTGGACTCCAACCGCTACGTCATTGAGAAGAGTGCTAGGACCTTGCGGGGCATGACATGGTGGGGATCTCTGCGGAATTATTTCTCTGAAGAGCCCGAGGCCCCGCGGCCCCGCACATCGACCTGGCTGGCAGATCGGCGCGCAGGCCCCCGGGGCCCGGGCCAGCAGGCAGGGGAACGGACAGAGGCCCATTCCAGCGATGCCCCCTTGTGGAGGGATCAACCACGGGACGGCTGCAGCAATCCAGTCAAGGATGAACGTCAAGAGCTTTTCGCACGGAAGGTCAATGGCGAGACCGCCGACGCTCGCCTCAAACGGGCCCATGTGGCCGGGCAGGGCCCCCAGAGCCTGAGTGAGGTGGCGCGCATGCAGGACGAGTACCTGGAGAGCCTTGGAAAGAGTCTGGACGAACAGCGGGGCATCGGAAGAACCTTGCATGAAGCCTTGAGTGAGCAAAGAGTGCAGGTAGACCGGCTGGAGGCGGGTAGCGAGGGGCTGGAGGACGCGACTCGGGCCGTAATCCGTAAGGCTGCCCGGGCATCTAGGGCCCGAGGAGGTTGGGGCGCAGAAAGGCCGAGGCTGTACAAGTTTGTAGCTTTCCGAGAAGTGCGGTCGGGACTCTTCCTAAGCGTGGCCGGTGAGGAGCTCCGACTGCAGGAGCCGAACATGAGCAAAGCCTGCCAGTTTGCGGCCTACACAAGCCAGGCCCTGACGGGCCTCCAGTCCGTTCTTTCCCGGAAATGGCTTGGCCAGCACTGGATTTCTGGGGCTCTGGGTGTGCGAGGAATGGGTCTGGGGAAGAACGAGGAATGGGAGGTTGACTGGCGCCGACCTGAAGGCGCTTTTTTTCTGTTGTGCTCGGCCAACTGGGGTAGTGGCGGGTACTTGATGGCGTTCCCCAAAAAGGATGAGAGACTGGGACAAACGCTGGCTTACGATTTGCGCTTGGGTGGATACAATGGAGAAGAGCGAGGGAAGGCCGCGCTTTTTGAGATTGTTGACTGTGAGAGCTACCGGACTACAGACGTGGTGACTGAAATTATACAGAAGAAAACTCCGGCCGAGTTAGCCGCAGAGGAGGAGCGGAAGCGGCGGGGCTCTCTCATAAGCTTAGAGGCGTTGAGAACAGGATAATTTATGTTAAAAACGCATGTAAAGAAATGTATACATGGCACGTGGATGCTCCACTTCCGCGCATGCCTGCGTTATCCTTTCTTTGTTCCGATCCCCTGACGGTATGAGATAAATGGGCACATCGACGAGTACATGGTCTACGAAAGATTACATGACCAGCAAGGACACGACAGCGAACCTATGCCCCGGCGTTCCCCCAGCACACCAGGCAGAGTCATTGTTGGGGCCCCGAGGCTTGGAGTGCACGGGACAGAGGCCTCGCAGGGTGGGCCGAGTTTTGGCGAGCGGCGAGAAACGACTTCTGAGGGCTACCCATACTCGGCAAGCGCGAATTTCACGGCATCAGCACGCCTCCGGGAGCTCGCGGGCCGGACATTACAACGTTACATGCAGGTTTCGGTTGCAATGGGAGAGAAAGCATGATAGCTTGAGCCCGAACATCACTTAGGCTGGAGGCGGACACCGATGGGAGCGAAGGCGTGCATGGTTGTTTCGAAGCAGTGTCTGAGATCAAGCCTGAGGCCATGGAGCTCCATATTGGCGCACCATTGCATGTTTGAGTATGAGTTCCTTGCAACTAATACAAGCTATTTTGAAAGATATATTCGAGGGTGCGGTAGGAGACCCTCTTAGTCGGGTGCGCCAGAAAGGGTGGGGGACGTGCGGCTGGCCACCGTGAAAGCCCTCCCTTGAACACGACTGCATCTTATACCACAGAACTTCAACAATGTTGTTATCGAGGTTTGCTATGCGTCAGCTTTGGGCCCATGTGGCAAAATCGAAATCGTGCCATCGAAGGGATGAGGTAGATAAATTTTATCGCCGAGAGACCTGAACTTTTTCACTGTGAGGGAGGGCTAACCGACATTCACGAACTCTATGTATCATATTTTGGAGGTGCAGGAACTTACTTGAATCTTCGTAAACCATGAGCAAAGATGCTAAAGTGGAGAAGGGGGGAGCGACCGAGCTAACAGAGGAGCAGATCGCTGGTACGTCCATCTGGTCTAGCGAAGTCCTTCACTTTCCCTTGCCCATTAACTAGCCACGCTGACCTACTCTTGTGCAATTCTGCCTGGATGTCACGGAAAACCAGAGTTCAAGGAGGCCTTTTCGCTCTTCGACAAGGACGGGGACGGGACCATCACCACCAAGGAGCTGGGTACGGTCATGCGCTCGCTAGGCCAGAACCCGACGGAGGCCGAGCTGCAGGACATGATTAACGAGGTGGATGCGGACGGAAACGGGACGATCGACTTTCCCGAATTCCTGACCATGATGGCGCGCAAAATGAAGGACACGGACTCGGAGGAGGAGATCCTCGAAGCTTTTAAGGTAGGTAAGGACGGGTGCGCGGGCCTGCCTGACGGGCGACAAATGATACCCTGGCTCACTTTTTTCTCGCATTTGCTTTTGGGACCGTCCTTGTTCCCCAGGTCTTTGATAAGGACGGCAACGGATTTATTTCGGCAGCTGAGCTGCGGCACATCATGACGAACCTTGGAGAAAAACTTACGGACGAGGAGGTCGATGAGATGATCCGAGAAGCCGACATCGACGGTGACGGTCAGATCAACTACGAGGAGTTCGTTAAAATGATGATGGCTAAGTAATTATGATTCCATATCCGCGCGACTGGGAGCGAAAAATCAGGGAAGGAGACCACAAGTGACGGAGATAACGAGTTACGCCCTTGAAGGAGCATGGGGTCGAATCTAGACAGACGGGTCAGCGAGAAGCTGAAAGGAAGGTGACGTGAGGCATGTCGGGAAACGAAGCCTGAGCGCTTCTCCCGGGAATATGGAACAGTTTCGCAATCTTTTTAGACCGGAAAGTGAGATCGGTGTATTTGAGTGTCGTCGCGGTATCGAGCTTGTACCTTTGGCTGACTTATTCATGGTTTTGGATCGATCGAACTTCGGGGTAAATCGTAGGAATGCTATCTATCCGGTGAGGTTACAAAAAAAGGGAGAAAAAAAATGCAGCATGTCGATATTCCCTTCTTTTGTTTTCATTTTATCAAAATCAGCGCCACGCATAAGCTCGCTGTCTTATCACATCTGCATATGGTTGTGGGAGATCAACAAGCATATAATACTGAGGAATACACCAGGAACCTGCCGGAATCCGCCCCGACCGCTTTTTCAAATTTTCACTCGCATTCATCTTGAGGCTTTCTTCGTCACAAGTCTAATCCATCATAAATATCCGCATGCATAGGTATGGAGACTACTGATGCTGATGCGTTGGAACGTTATCTGCCACGAATCCTGCCCCGCGATTTCCTAGCCCCGTCAGTCTCTTCAACCTCCCCACCCACTGCACTGCACATTAAGGCAACGAAGCTGGAGGGCGGGCAGTCGAATCCCACGTATTTGCTCAGGCTTCAACCCTCTGATCGTCAATTGGTTCTCCGTAAGAAACCTGCGCTTGTCAAAGTAGCTTCCGCTCATGCCGTAGAGAGGGAATTTCGTGTTCTTGAGGCCTTGCAAAATTCAGACGTGCCCGTTCCTCCCGTCTACCATCTCTGTGAAGATGCTTCGGTTTTGGGCACTCCCTTCTACCTAATGGGTTTCGTTGAAGGGCGCATCTTTCGGGATCCGACTTTGCCAGGCATAAAGACCTCTCAAGAGCGGGCACAGTATTACCGGGCGATGTTAGCCACCCTGGCAGCTATCCATACGTTGGATTGGCGGAAGCGGTCCTTGAGCACGTTCGGAAAGCCAGATGGAGGATACTTTGCTCGACAATTGAAACGTTTGAAAAGTGTGATGGAAAGACAGGCTGAAAATGCTGGATACTTCCCAGGTTTGCAAGAAGTGTGCTCGGACATGTTGCTCTATTCTGAGCAGCCAGGCTTCAAATTGAGGGACCAAACTTGCCTGATTCACGGGGACTACAAGGTCGACAACGTGGTATTTCATCCCACGGAGCCTCGCGTCATCGCTGTGCTAGATTGGGAACTCTCCACGCTGGGCCACCCTATGGCTGACCTGGCCAACCTCGCCATGATGTTTTTCGTCCCAGCCGTTCCCCGGGCTCCTGTCTCTGGCCTGCTTGGACTGGATTTGGAGGCTCTGGGGATTCCTGATGAGGATGAGCTGGTGAAAGCGTATTGTCAACTAGTCGGACGTTCCTACCCAGACAGGGCATGGCGCTTTTACACAGCCTTTCTCTTTTTTAAAAACGCGGTAATCTTGCAGGGTGTGGAAGCACGGCGGCAACAAGGCGTAGCCTCAAGCAAGCATGCAATTAAATTATTGGATCTAGCTCCCATTCTCGTTGAAATTGCCAGACAGCACTTGGTTGAGGCACAGGAGAGAATTGGACAGGAAAGCATTAACAATGTGACACAAGAGGACAAGAAGAACAATGTGGTGGTTTCTCCAGTCAAGAACATTGAGGCATGGGCGGAGGAAGTTTTGGTCGTGGTCTTTGATTGGGGGGGCGTCCTGACCCGCTCCTCGCCCCTCGCCGCTATCCGGAACCACGAACGTCGGAACGGCCTGCCTGCGGGCTATCTCAGCGTGGCAATTCACTCAGCCGGTGACGAACATGGCCTCTTCCAGATGTTGGAGAGGGGAGAAGTAGCGCTAGACGATGCTTTTCTTGAAAAATGGGAACTAGAGCTCACATCCTCACGCAGTCGGCGGGCTTATGTACAAGTAGCGCACCGCGTAAAATCCGCGGAGTTACCGATCGACTTCCGCCCTCCCTACATTAACGTCCGTGCACTCATGTCTCAAATACTGTCTGCCTCAACAGCCATAGATCCCGCTATGCTTGCCGCTGTGCGAGCCTTGCGTTCTGCGGGGGTGCGTACCGCTTTGCTAACTAACGACTTTCGTGTGGCGCCCAGTTTTTTTTCTCCAGCCGACCCAGAAGAATTCGACCTTTGGTCTCGATTGGAAAAGATTCACGAGATCTTTCACGACCCATCAATTTTTAACTTTGTAATATCCTCGGCGACAATGCGGGCGAGGAAGCCCGAGATACGAATCTATGAGGCGCTCCTCCAGAGGCTGGGATTTTCGAAGAAGTCAGCGAGTCGAGTATTGTTCTTGGATGATATCGGCCGTAATCTCAAGGCTGCAAGGAGTATAGATATTAAAACTATGCTCGTCAAGGAAGAGAACAAAGCGCAAATAGTGGCGGCGCTGGAGGGTTTGGCAAGGGCAAAAGGTGGAGGCGGGAGGTTGAGTCCGCGGCTATAGACAGACCATGCGAATGACTACAGGAACGGATGACCATGTTTGAACATGCCGACCAAGAACGAAAGAAAAATGAGCTGTGGTACAGACGCGCCTTTGACCTTGTCTGTAATTGCTTCTTCACGGTGGGGCCCGGGGGGCATTCTGCCTAAAGCGAGGGCTGGGGCCCACGAGCGCCGGCGCCGACAGAGCCATGTGGTAGTCTTTCAGGCGTGGTCGGACCCTGTTCAAATTTCCGGCAATTGCTTTTCCAGCCGCGTGACTTCTAAGTAATTATCTTCATGCGTACTCACTTACTGGTAATTCGTCAGAGAAGTACAAGACGAAAAGGTCCCGATTACCGAAGAAGTGAAGTAAATCGAGCGAGGCTCCACCTTTCTCGCCTTCTTTTCCGTAGGAGGGCCCATCATCGCCTTCGAAGAAACATCTGGCATGTGTATGTTGCCTTGGCATTATCTTCGCCGCCTCAAACCCAAATTTAAAGGACGAATGTGTTATTGTCGTGTCCTCGCATTCTTCGTGATGCATGGGTCTATTTATTCGGTCGAAGTCATGAATGTGATTTCTTCAATGCCTCTTTTGCGACAGACTTAACAGCACATTGTACCAAGTATTCATGAGTGCACAAGTTACGACACGTTGGGCGGTAATGCTGCTTCTGCCCTTGGCCCTCCAAGCTGTGAATCATTTCAAGGATCTGAACAGGTTGGAGGACCTGGAGCTTCTGGGTCTCGTTCAGAAGGACACAGGCGTCGCCGAGAAGCACTTGCTCCTTGGCTTTAGCTCCTCAGCATGTGAACAGAGCGTGAGGGAGTTAGGATTTCCATCTGAGTATAGTGTCCTTGGGGAACACGTCGAGACTGGTGAAGTCATGCTTGATCGAAACACTGAACTACCCGGTGTCTACAACATTTCGAGCTGTAACGAGTATGTATATGTGCCGCGGGGTGGTCGCACTCGCGAAGACTACGACGTAATCAAGGCAGTGGATAAGCTCCAGCTGCACAACTGGTTGTTCACGCATTTAGCTCTGACAATGGAGGTCATCAACGATTTGCCCTTCGACGTATCCATCAAGTGGGAGGACACGGGCCGTTCTCAGGCCCCTCAGGATCTCATCTCCATCCCGCGGGGGCGAACGTCGTCTATCAACACCTTCGAAACACATCACCTCCGATTTGTCAGCCACCAGCCTGGATCAGAACCCCGTCAATTTTTGCGCGTGCGTGTTGACGGCAGCAGAAATACGCTGCGCTTGTCGGACTTCCTGACTGAGGAGGCCAACCAGCAGTGCCTCAACCCCCAGGACTGCGGCGCCAAGACCGTAACCACGCTCCCGAATGTAAACAACCAACACGGCTCTACCGACGATGTGCAGCTCGTGGAAGAAGACATGAACATTTGGCGTGGCCGGGACGTGGAGAACAAAGGAAGGGTTGTGCGGAACGAGGTTCAGCCGAAAACCAAACCACGGTACACGGCTCTTGGCTTCAAGAAGACGCGCATCCCCGACGCTGTCTATCAGGTCTTGCTGAACCGCTACCACTCGGGTGAGCATATTCTCGAGCCCTGGCCGAAGTCTGACTGTCACACGAACTTTTTCGAGGCGCCGTCTACCATGGTCTACCTCTCGGATGCCGAGAAAGCTGACATTTTCTCCGGCATGATGCCGAACTTGAGCAAGTGGGCTGGAGGCGTGAAGCTCCACCCCACCTCTTGTTACGGGATCCGGATTTACCATAACGGATCCTGGCTACGCGAGCATGTGGATACGGGGGACACGCACATCATCTCTGCTATTATGAATGTTGATCAGGACGTAGAGGAGGACTGGCTTCTCACCTTCATCGACCACAATGACAACAGGCACTTTGTCACGCTCGAGCCTGGTGACGCGCTGTACTATGAGTCTGCATCAGGCTTGCACGGCCGCCCCATCCCTCTGAAGGGCAAATTGTTCGCGAACGCCTTCGTGCACTTCAAGGTCGTGTAAGGCGCAAGTCCACACGAAGCACCGGGAGGCATGGGTATGGGGCTGTGTAGGAATGAGGTCTCGGTTGTCTAGGGGTACACATGAAATTGCGCGAAGGGGAACAAAAACTTTGGAAGAGAGATTGATCGAAAGGTTTCGGCAAAAAAGCAAGAAAATCACTAAATATGCTTTCGAACATCTTCATCGCTATCAACTTGTATTTTTTAATTCCACATTTCAACCTCAGGCTTACTCTGCTTTCTTTACTATTCAAAAACGTCGCTCTACCCGCATTATGAAAGCTATCTCCAGCCAAAATGCCATGCGTTTTCACGACTCGCTCTACATTATATTTCACTCATTAACGAATGACCGGCACGGTCATTGCCTCAGGCACCTGTATCTTGACCTGAAGGACCTACAGCGGAAAGGAGGGGAAACAGCGGAACAAGGGGGAGGGTTTTGGCCAAACACACACGTACCGGGTCTCCCGCAGAGAGAGGCCAGCTCTTGTGCTCCCCGAGGGCGACATCATCATACACGGTACTGTGGGGTGGTGCGGAGAACCCCCAAAAAAATGTAAAAAGCATCTAATCACCTCTCTCATCGCTTTAACGTATTTGTGTGGAGCACGCCTAGACACCTGTTTCGTCGCCTGACATATTCGTCTGCGCTTGCATACGGTTTTCTTTCCCATCTATAAGGCAGCACTCTCTCCTTTCGCCGAGACTTCCCGCTTTGTGTCTTGGTCGGCTCCTGTGCTATCGGCGTGAGGAGAAAGAGGGGAAGACATTGACACAAACACGTTCTTCTTCCTTCCCTTTTCCCCCCCTGAGCCGCAATTTTCTTGATCCAAATTCCATTTTTCTTTTAGCACCTCCAAGTCATCATCAGGGTCAGATTCCTCTCCGTTTTTCGCATCCTCGCTCAGGATATGGTCGTCCAAGTCCTCTGCGTCTCCTCGAGAGGGACTGGGGCCCACTTCCTCGTCAGGCACCTCCTGTGACCCCCGCAAGGAAAATGTCAAGAGAAATCAGAGCATCTCTTAAGTCGATTTTTTCTCCACAATGTCTTACCTGTGTGTAAATGTGGACGTGGTAGACCTGAATGGAACGTGACGCGTTCTCGTCCAAGTTCCAGCGCCGCACGCCAGGACGCTCTCGCTCGATCCAGTCTATCATGTAGGACTCCACCTCCTCTAGCGACAGCTCTCGCCGCGCCCACAATGTCATATGCCGAATGCCCTTGGGAGTGTTGTACCTGTCAATATCAAAAGCGCCGGGACCGCGGGTCAAGTCAGAAGTTTCCTGACGTGGGGGCGCAAGAGACAACGGGATACGTACGGGAACTTGTTCTCCTCCAGGACGATTTCGTCGCGCGGCAGCACCGATTGGAGGATCCACTCCTCCCGGGAAGCGTACGTTGCATCAATGTAGTCCTGTGCTCGGGAAATACATTAGAGATCAATCCCAAAAGGAGTTAGTGTCTGGCGAAACTCTCCCCACATGCCCGCAGTCGCCTGCCCGACCCTTTTACCACAGACCCTCACTCTCACGCACCATGTGATCCCACTTTCTCTCCTTGCACTCTCTCGACCGGTCCCAGTATTCAATCTTCAGAGTGCGCCGGCACATCGCGTTCATGCTCGCAGGATGGTCCCAGTTCTCTTCCCCCCGGAGGCTATCATCTACTTCTCGCCTCATGGCGCCCTCCTCGTCATCTTCGCCGTTCTTTTTCGCGTCAATCTCCTTCACATCATGAGTCCCGTAGTTATCGCCACGCGCAGGAGAAGGAGAAGCGGACCGATTGTGGTAGGAGTGCCTCCGGCGCTTGAGTGAGGAGACACCCGAGCAGGCGGCCGTTTCAGGGGCCCTTACGGGGGTGGAGGCCCCTTCCGCGGCCTCCACCAGCCAGAAGGATGCGGGCTCGTCCGTTGCTTCCGAGCTATCATGGCTGCGGCAGGGAGAGATATAAGGAGACGAGTCACACGAGGTGGGCGGGATATTCTCCTCCCTTGCTTTTCGTTTCCGATTCTCCCCCCCATGGCGTTGAAAAGGGCGCTTCAGATGAGAATCCGCGCCCCCGTTGCCGGGACTGGAGAGGCTGGATGAGGTGGAGGGAGTGGACATGATCGGAACATTCAGTACCCTGCTCATAGAAGCGATGCTTTAGCGCACTTTCTGAGCAACACCCAACTGAGAAACAGAGTAGGACCTCGGTAAAAGAGGTGTCTGCGACAAAGTACCTGCCCGACGCAAGCACTCAGAATACGCTCCACAAGTGCTCTAAGGTGGAGCGTGAGACTGACTGACAATAGCCTGTCTTCATAGGTGAGGGAATGTGATTGAGCAAATGGTTCTAGATTTTCTTTCATTCAGCCACCACGACGCAGCCAAACAAGACCCTAACAACTTGCACACACTTAAATGTACAGAGGCAACAACTTCATGAATTTAGGAATGGTCGAAGTCATAGCACCCTGCGTGTGATTGAATGTACAGGGGCAAGTGATGCGCAACACTTTGCGGGGAAGCGGCCCGGGTGCGCGGAATGACGCGGCGCCGGGTCGAGGGAGAGCAAGGATAGCGCGAAAAGAATCAAAGACCCCCCAGGGAAAGCATCCACGTATCTTATGCCCAACGCAAGCGAAGCTTCGTCTGATTTCTTTAGGTGTGGCAATGGATTGTGCTTGCACGAAAGTGCGACTCGGCTGAGGACAGGGCACGCCCACGCAAGCAGGCTCGGGGAGAGAGCAACGACGGGGCTCGATCTGGCAACGAGAGGAAAGGCGGGGAGGGAAAAACACACGACCGGCCCTTTTTATACCTTTTTGGCTTACGCTGTGCTACACAACCTTTACATAGGTGCGCGTGCTCGTTAATTCCTCAGTTGACCAATTTGGTACGGTGTAAACTTACATCTTCAAGGTTGAGGGTCGAGGACAAGAGCAGTCGGAACATATTGCTCATGCGTTCTAAATGGACATCAAAAACTTGCGCTGAATTTATCCTATCAAGACCCGTGGGAGAGAATGGACGAGGTCGAATATCGTAATGGGTGCACTACCCGAAACCGACCGTCATTCGCATTGGATGACTCTCACTGGTCATGTTTCACGGGTCATAAAGGGGAGGTTCTGAGTTTGGATTTGCTTGGGCCTCAAGAAAACGGATCAGCGGTCATGGGCGCATCCATGCTGGCATCAGGGGGGGAAGACTCTACCTGCCGAATATGGGATGTTGCTGCGGGGCGGGCCATACGATGTTACACGGGTATGTTCGACGACAATCAGGGGATAAGCGCTGTCGCCTTTCTTGACAAGGATCGCCTCTTCGCTGCGACAAAAACTTCCATTTACGAATTGGACCTACGCGCTCCAGGTATAGTCGTCAAAAATGCAGTGGGAAGTCTGCCTGACATTGCTGACGATATGATAAACCAGATCTCGGTGCAAGCTCGACGCGGCAGCAAGAAGGTAGCAGTAGCTGACGACAGCGGGAAGGTCACCCTGCTAGACGCCAGCCTTCGCCCTCCAAAGCCCATACGGACCTTTCAATTCCCGGGAGGGGAAGATTTTTGTACGTGTGTAGCGTTTCGGCCACGCGTGCAGTGGGACCTGGCCTGTGGTTTTCACAGCACGAGTACCCTGGGCCTGTGGGACTCTTCGCGGGGACAGAGGGGGTGCCGAGCCATATCCGTGGAGGCGGGATCGCTGAGTGCTGCGGGAGCAAAAGACGCTGATGCCGATGATCCCACCACTGCTCCGTCGGCAGTCTCATCTTGTCAGCTTTTCAATCCCCCCTACATTAATGGCCTGTCTTTCTCAGCGGACGGGCGCTTCGTAGCAGTTGCCAAGGGCAACGGCGAAGTAGGCGTGTACGACTTCGTGGAAGGGAGCATGGTCGCCCTCCTCGAGGGGGGACATTCGACAAGCGTGGCTGGCGTCTCTTTCTTGGATGTGCAGGGTGCAGACTTGCCGGGAAAAGGAGCTTCGGGTGTGAGGGGACGGTCAGGGAGGTCTGGTCCCTTTATCTTGGCGTCCGTTGGGAACGACCGCGTGCTGAACCTGTGGGAATGCCCCTTACTTCCCGCCTCGGGTAACGATGTTCCCAGTGGAATAATGACGCCGGCAAGGGTCCTGAAGCGATTCAGTGGTTTGCCGGGAAAGCCCAACTGGATGGTCAGCGCCGTCCGCCCCTGTCAGGAGGCGAGAGAGGCGGGGGTGGTTTGCTTCCAGATTTTTGTGGCCACCACCTCCGCGCACATAGCTGTTCTTAACACATGTCTAGTCAAGCAAGAGCAGTAAAGAAAAAGGCAGTCTGCTGGCCCATGCACCGGCTTGCATGTGTCCATTGAAAGCCTGTGTCGTCACACCCACAGAAAGCTCAGACCCCCAGACCAATCACCGTGGTCTCGTTTTACTACCTCAGAAACTACGCTCTTTTTATAACCGCATTTTGATTCTTGAACCTGAGTACTCTAGCATCCGACACAGTGCTGTCAAAAATTGGCATGATCCATCTGAAGCTGCGGAACATTTCATGTCACGTTTCCGTCATCAACATTGATTACCCTATACAACAAGGACCAGACATCTGCCTTCTCTTACTTACTTTGCTCTACTCCTAATTTCGCCAGCCCCGATTATCCGCCTCTCGCTCCCCCCGCTGGCCCCTGATGCCGTCAGAGGGACCTCACGGTCCCGCCCACTCTGTCGCAGCCATCGCCGTCGGAGACGGCGGCGCGAGGCGCTCGTGTCGGACGATGCGTGCAGCAGCCTCTCGACGCGGTGGAAGAGCCCGCGCACCCCCTTGGTCGCCTGCCGCTCCGCATAGGCCGCCAGGACCTGCCGAGAGAGGTCGGCCAGCGCCTTGCTCTGCACGGGCGAGGGCCCCGATGGGTTGGGGGAGGAAGACGGCAGAAGGGAGGAGAGTCCCTGCTCCGCGGCCAGGCTCCTCAGGTTGCCCAGCAGGGTGCCGACGATGGCAAGGCGGTCGCGGTCAGGGAGCGAGGCCGGCGGAGGGATGAGACCCCCGCTGAGGAGAGAGAGGCCACGCATTACCACCAAATTGGCATCGTCCAGCGCGCCCAAAATGTCTTCGATGAGCGCTTCTCGCAAGAAGGCCCCGCTGTCCGAGAGGACGTAGGTAAAGATCAGGTCCAGCGTCTCGCGATTGCTCAGCAGGCTATCCTCTGCCCTCGTTTCCGGCGCCGACCCCGCCTCCAGACTGAGCATGGCCGTCATGGGCCGGGACGAGGCCTCCAGCATACGCTCCAGCCGGTTCCACCGGATGCGGTAACGCACCCTGCCTGGGCGGGTGGTGATTCCGTCGCCCCACTGGTCGGGGGGCTCCTCCACGGGCACGAGCAAGATCTCCTGGAGGGCCAAGCGGAGGGCGGGCGTATCCGAGGATTGGAGCAGGTACTTGAGAATGAAGGGGTACACGGCCTGGGGGGCCGAGACAAGGAGGGAAGGAGGCGGTGGGCGGGTTGAAACGACATCGACGTTGGAGCGCGAGGGCATTAGGAAAGAGAGGTACAGGAAAAACATCATGTGACAACGTGTCAGGGTTTCGACGCCTCATGCCGGCCAGAAGCTGCTCTGCTTGACCGAGGGAGGCGTGCAGGGAGGTGGGCAAAGCTCTCGCAGCAGGGAGCGAGGGAGTGGGTAGGAGCTTACCTGAATGACTTTGAAGCGCGGATTATAGGAGAGCGCCGTCCCTTCGCAGATGGCCAGGGTCCTGATCACGAGCGACCAGTAGGCAGGGATGCGGACGGGAAAGCGGTAGGCCACGTCCTGGATGTTGGCGGAGAGGCGCGCGAAATTCAGGTCCATGAGACTCTTGTCGCCCGAGGTGGAGGCGTTAGTGAAAGCTGCGCGCAGGGCCGGGCCGAAGCCCTCCAGGGCCGCGGGGTCTCCCTCCCGCGAAACAAAGCCCAGGTCGACGAAGGAGCTCGCCAGCTTGTCAAACTCCTTGTTGTAGAGAAAGGAGACGGCCTTGATCAGGGCGAAGCGCTGCTCCTCCGTGATTTGCGTCAACATGCCGTGGTCCAGGTACGCTAAGTCCCCACTCGTCGTCCGCAGCAGATTGCCCTGCAGAAAGAAGAGACGTGAAAATAAGCGATAAGAGACCAGGGTCTTCCATCACCGGGCATGCTCTACGGGCGAAGACAGGGGGGAAGGGGAAGAGGGATTGGCATGCGGAACACGCAAAAGCGAAAGACCGCCCGATTCGCGACATGGACACTCTCTGTCAAGGAGGAAAACGTACGGCGTGAGGGTCAGCATGGAGGAAGCCCTTCTCGAGCAACTGGTAGGTGGAGCATTCCAAGCCGAGTCCGATGAGCCGCTCGGCGTCGTCTCCCCAGGGCAGCTTGGTTCCCTCGATCCACTCCATCGTCAGCACGCGCTTCGTGGTCAGCTCATCCACCACGCGCGGCGCCGTAATGCCCTCCAGGACAGGCGCCGCGTAGTAGGCCCGGAACTTCTTGCAGTTCTCGCCCTCGTGAATGAAGTCAAGCTCCTCCCACAGCGTTTCCCCGAATTCGTCCACGATAGCCAGGAGATCCGAGCGCAACTTTCGCGCCCGCTGCAAATAGCCGGCACCTGTGCGAAGGATGGCTAAGTCTGCCTCCGCGGTCCGGAACATGTTGGGTCGCTGCACCTTCACGGCGACCACTTGCCCGGTAGCCCGAACGCGCGCCTTGTAGACTTGGCACAGGGACGCCGACGCTCGCAAAGACTCGATATCGAAGACCTCCGAGGCGGGTCTCCCCAGCTCCTCCTCGATGATCTGGTACGCAATATGGTCGGGGAAAGGTCCTACCGTGTCCTGCAGCTTCTCAAGCTCCGTCACGTAGACTGGCCCTACGATGTCTGGCCGGTTGCTGAGGGCCTGTCCGACTTTGATGAAGACGGGCCCTAGCGAGACCAGCATCTCACGCAGCTTCCGCGCGTGGAGGCGCCGGCGCTCGTCTGACGCGCTCTGTCCGGTCATCTCGTCCACATTCACAAGGGTCAGCCAAGAAAGTATAGGCAACCCTACGTCCCGTAACCGGGCAAGAACCCGCCACCATTCCCGCAGAGCCAGCTTGCTAATAGCAGCGCCATCATATCTCACAAAGTGATACCCTGGCGGGCGTGAAGATGAGACAAATTCGCTGGATGCTTCGGTTGTCGCCCGTCTCAAGACGAGCCCTTCAGAGGGCTTCCGCGCTGGAGACACAAGCAACCATCCCCGGCCTGATGGTGCCAAAACAAAAATAAGAAAGAGAACTAGCAGAAAATGTCGGGACGGTAAATGCGAGGCCGATGTTTTGCACTCAATTTTACTTGGTAAAGAGATGCTCATCACGGTCGCTGGGATGAAGCAGAGGGCGACAACAATTCACTGCTATCTGCTTTTACAAAACATTGGTCTGAGAGAGCTCTGCGTCTTTGGAATGTAAATAAATTTAAAATGAGACCAGGGAGCGGCATGCGAAAAATGTATGCGTTCGCAGATCAAAGAGGTGGCCGTGATGACTTGTCAGATTACTCTGACTTGTCTCAGCTTTGTGGAACAAGGAAAGGCAACCCGCACATGGGGAGGAAAGAATGCGAAAGCGGAACCGATAGCCACTCTCCAACTAGTGAGTTGTGCTTTGTCAAAGCTGAGATTTGCAGTGCAAGGAAAGCGAGAAATCTCTTGGCCTTGGCCAAAACATCGGTGGAACATTCTTATTTCAGTGCGTTGTGCCTCCCGTGCGCTCTATCGCCTTCGCGTCAAGAAGGGCGTGGCCAGATGCATGAACGAGTGAAAACCACAACCTCGATTATCTCGAAAATCAACCAACCTGCACGCATTTTCATGGTTATTGAAACATCACCAGGCGCGGGAAAGAGGCTGTCGAACCGCCAAGGACCTTCGTGTATCCTAAGCCTCTAACTCGACCCCTCTTTTACCTTCTGCTATTGCAGGGTCTCCTACGCGGCTCCAGCTCTCTCACCCTCCAGTCTTGTGCTCTTGGCAAAGATAAAGCGCTTGCGAACCAATCAACTTTGATATCTGTTGTGCATGCCGCCTCCTCCTACAGGGAGGGGCACGTCCAAGTTTCAGACAGCCTGCGCATGGGAGATGCAAAACAGCCTGAAATGTATGGAAACAGGTGACAAGGACAAATGCGCGGACATGATCGAAATGTATAAGGACTGCAGAAAAGAGGAGCAGGAGAAAGTGAGAAAGGAGAGGAGTGGTACAGGAGGATTTAAATGGTAATACCGAGATATCATCATCCAACGAGGATCGACATGGTGGCGTACGGAAAACGTGCTGTATTTCTCGAGATAGTGATCGTTCTGCAGCTCTGTCTGGTGTATGTCAACTTGCCAGTCGAAGGCTTCCTCTTGCGAGGACATGGTATCTGCGTTTCCTTCAAATGTCAGCACAAACGCTTGCCGTTGCCATATCAAGTGCTATCCACGCATTCCTTTTTCGGAACACATGGTGCAGCGGGAGCCACAGAGAACAACGATGTTCAACAAAATCAACACTGTCCTATCACTGATGAAGGGCCTCTAAAATCTGTGCGACAAGCTGTCAAGGTTTTGAATAGTGTCCTCCACATAATGTTCTCGGCCGGTGATGTCTTTGGTATGTACTCTTCACCCTCTGCAAGTGTTCTTGCGCCGACTTTTAAAAATAAGCGCGGTGGAGCAAGCAGAGCCGACTCTAGATGGGCCCTTGGTCGTCCAGGCCGAAGGGCGTTGGAAAGTAGAGACGACCGTGACACGTCCGAGAAAAGCGTCGCAAAGGAGGACATAGCGGAGGAAGGATCAGAAATCCAGAAGTTTGTGAGTCAGCGCGACTTAAACTCATGGGACGTATGGCAAGGGGTAGACCAAAATCGTCATCGGCACTCAGAAGATGAACGTCAGAGGCGTCAACAGCGTAGGCGCAAAAAGATGACTTTGTCGACACGGTATACATGTGGAGTGAGCGTAGCCAATGCCTCCCGTCTCGAAGAGTATATGGGCCTTCCATTCGACCAATACTCTCTTTTGGATCAGTCATTTATTTCCCGCGTGGAAAAGGGCAAAGAGAACCCCCAAGGTAATGTTTTCCGCTTCATGGTTCCCGCAAACGAGTTGGTGGGCCTTCACACAGTACCCATCGTTGATGTACGTGTCGACGTTGACATGAGCAAGCGCCAGCTTGCTATCACCTCAATTTCCTCGCGTTTCGTCTCCCGAGCAACGGATGGGACAATTTTAGGCACGCAAGCTGTGAACGTCCTCACCAATAATTCACTTGCCTTCTCGACACGCATAAAATGGAATCGCCCAGCTACCACGAAGAAGTATTCTGAGCGCGTGCAGAAAGGAA